TCCTCTCGTTGCTGTCCTTCCTCTCGTTGCTGTCCTTCCTCTCGTTGCTGTCCTTCCTCTCGTTGCTGTCCTTCCTCTCAGTTGTTTTCCCTGCTCAGCACGGCACAGGGGAGAACCCGTGGCTCTACTGATTAAAAAGAGGCCCACCTGTGCGACTAACCACTTGCACCTCTGCAAATAGTAAGACGCTTCCAGTTAGCATGATAGCGCGGCTCCATGGACCTGCGTCGGCAGGCCTCCCACACCAGCCACTGACGATGGGCAGCTCAAGCATGTGAATGGGCCACAACGGCACAACGGGGTAGCCAGATCGGCATCGTTGAACATTTTTGGTCGTCCGGGGCCGTTCGTCCAGTAATTACAGCACTCCGTGCCCTGCGCTACAAAACGCAATGCAGGCGAGCGTTTCGTCCACCAGGCTCACGTGATATCTCCTTACCAAACGCCAATACGCCATCGTCACACCGCGGAATGCTGCATCGGTCCCCCCTTTGAACACTCCACGCCTCCCGCCTTTTTGCACGACTTTTCCCTCGCCAGCTCGAGGTGGTGCGGCGGCACAGCGTGGTACACCACGGCGTTGAGCACCGACGCCGCCGCCGGCCCAAACCACCATATCCACTGATCTACACGCGCCGTCAGCTCTGTCGACTGCCAGGGAACGGAAGCACACCCACCAGCCATGCTACGCCTGACGATACCATACGCCAGGCATCGTGCGGGATTCATCTGAGCTCCCGCATAGCCAGGAGCCAGGCCGCTCGTCGAGAAGGACACCAAGCCAAGCGATGCTCCAACGAGCAGTGGACCGAGCCGCGGCCCAAAGAGCACCGCCTGCCGGGGATCCAACCCCACCCCGAAGGCGAGATAGAGGAGCGCAAAGGACCCCAAGAACTCATTTAGGTAAACCTGCCCCGTGGTGATCTGGTCAAAGTTGACAAAACACCCGCCTCCCTGCACACTAACAAGGCTATCAGCTTGGCACAGGTCTGGACACCACTAGCTGGCTATACCTCTGAGATCTCTCACTGCCCCAAGCGGCACTCAATAGTCCGCCGACAGCCGCAGCTCCCAACGTCTGGCCACACATGTACAAGACACCTTGGGCGTGTCAGCAGCGACATACGCAGCTTCGCGTTCAGGAAAGTAAGTACTCGCCTCTGGGCAGAGGGCATATGCCGACGAGGACGGCCGAAAAGGTAATCATCGGATTCAAGTGACCGCCCGACGCCGGCGCCGAGGCGTAGATGAACAGGGCCAGCAACACTGTGTTGCTAACTGCGGTCGTCTTATTAGCAAACCGAGTCAAAGCGGGTTTGCGCCCCCGACAAGGCCAGCTTTACTTCCGATGTAGGCTCCGAGGACGTTGGTCTTGTAACTAAACAACGTCGCTGTGATGGAACCACTGACAAAGACTTGGCAACCAGTTGCAACGGCTTCGATAAACTGCATTCTTTTGTCAGTCCGGTCGCTCCGGTGCCGCGGGGCGCATCTCAGCCGTGGCCAAAGCACCTACCGCCGACTTCCATATTGACAAGTCCAACCACCCGTCGAGATAGTACGATCGGTCTCTGTAAAAGGGGATCGCACGGCTCACAGCCGGCCGGGCCGATGGCACAAACGAGGCATCGAACGCGGCCACCTGTAGTCGCTGCTGGTCAACTGCCGTTTCACTACTGAGGCGGTCCTGTGCAGCCACCTTGGAGGGCTGCGCGGCCGCACTTCCGATCCTGTCGTCGATGTCTTCCATGACGGATGTACGCCGGCGACGGCCCAGCCGGCGGGACAAGAAGTTTATTTATTTAATAACAGAGCGAGATGACAAGCCCCCTCCTCGAGCACAGACGGAGGAGCGCCCGGGATGTCACGTGACAAAGCCGACCCGTCACCTCGTATCCTGCGACCCAGCAACTCAAGAATCCCAAATAAATATTACGAGTCGCTGGACCGTAATGGTATGTAAGCACGCTATAATCACCGTGCTTGCCAATGACATGTCAGCGCCGCCCGCCGTCGCCAGTTGACAGACATTCTGGCAGAAATCCCCATGCCCACTGCCGGCTGCGCCGCTCCGCCGGACATGGAACGATCGACTTTGCCTACATAGGCTATAGGCTATTGACGGGTTCCCGGATTCACACCGGAGAAATCTATGCCACAGGGGCCACGGGGCTTGCATGTGGCCAAGGTACCTGAAAAGGGCAATGCCGACTTACCCGTCATTTCGACTGCCACGGCGGCAAGGGAACCAAAACAGTCTCGATGCGAGAGACATACGGGCACGGACATGGGCCTGGAAGGGGCAAAAAAGGTAAGGTATTTTAATTGACAATATGATTCACAAGGACTTTCCATGATGCACGCCTTCCGTCTAAGAAACGCAAAAGACCATAAACTCGTCATAAAAATAAGAAGTTAAATTCGGCGGGAAGCCGCGCCACCATAGAGCGGGCGTGAGCTCATTCCCGTCTATCGTTGTTCAGAGTAGAAGACATAGAATTGCGAAGTAGAGTCCCAGAACCTTACAGGGCGAACACCTGGAAGGCGACCATGGCGACGAGGCCGCTGAGGCCGAGCGCCAGGGTGGAAGCGCCGGCCTGGACGGGGCCGCTGGGCACGGCGGAGGAGCCGGGGCCGACAGGGGTCGTGGTCCAGCTCTGCGTGGGCACGGCGACGCCGGACGAGACGCCGGGGCAGCCGGTGCCGGCGCAGCTAGGCGCGGGCTTCACGCCCGTAGGCCGGGTGGCGGTCTGCAGGGTGTTGGTCTCGCCCGGGACAGTGACCGTCTCGGTGAGGGTGGACGTCGCGGCGGTCGTGGTGGTGGCCTCGGGCGGGTTGACGGGGTTGACGGGGTTGCCGCCGGGGACGCTGGGCGTGGGCTGGGGCACCTTGCCCGTCTCCGTCTCCGTGACGGGGCAGACGGTCGTGTACCACGGGATGGTCTCGGTCGTGACGTGGCCGACGGGGCAGTTGGTGACCTGGGGCGGGCAGGCCGTCACGGTGTGGATCTTGGTGGTGTAGACGGTGCTCGTGGTCCAGGCGGCCGACGACGAGGGCTTGGTGTGAGTCGGCTTGGGGGGCTTGGGGGCCTCCGTCTCCGTCACGGGGCAGACGGTCGTGTAGATGGGGATCGTCTCCGTCGTGACATAGCCGCCCTCGGGGCAGTTGGTGACGTAGGGAGGGCACTTGGTGACTGTGTGGACCGTGGTGGTGTAGACGGTGCTCGTGGTCATGGAGACGCTGTGCGATGTGATGGTCGAGTTGGACCACTTGGACGTGCTGGAGGCGATGCTGGTCACCGGGGTCGTCGAGGTCGTGACGGGGGGAGTGACGGTGACGCCAGTGGTGGTGGTGGTGACCGAGGTGGGCTTGGCGGTGCTGGAGACGTCCTTGGTGGAGCTGCTGGACGACTCCTTGGTGCTGCTCACGGCCGTCGAGCTGCTGACCTTGGAGGTGCTGCTAACGCTCGTAGAGCTGACCTTGGAGGTGGTGGTCTCGATGGTCGAGCTGGGCGAGGTGGAGCTGGCCTTGGAGGTGCTGCTGGCGGAAGTCGAGCTGGCCTTGGAGGTGCTGCTCTCGGTGGAGCTGACCTTGGAGGTGCTGCTGACGGAAGTCGAGCTGGC